AAAAAAAAAAAAAAAAAAAAAGTTGTATCCTAAACAAAGCATGTTACAGGAACGCGCATTAGCTATTAAGCTGAAGCACATTGTTCACTAAGGATCTTTACTGATCCTCTCTCGGTTCATCTTCTTAATTTTCATTCTTCTGTTCTGAAACCAGATTTTAACCTGCCGTTCTGTTAAATTCAGGATTCGTGCTACTTCATAACGACGATCCCTCGTTAAATACATGTTAAAAAGGAACTCCTTCTCTAATTCCAGAGTCTGATATTTTGTGTACGGGCAACGTTTCTTTCTTGTTGATCTCGCATGGATCCAGTTTGCTGCAGGGTTGCCTGAAAAAAAAAACACGTAAATAAGCTTTACGTCCACAATTGATTAGAGCACTTGATTAGACTGGCAATATCAAAGGGAGCTATACGTTAATATTTATCCATAAAAAAGTGTGTGTATGTGAATGCAACTATTTGTATGAATAAGCTATCTATCTATCTATATATATATATATATATAGCATTCTCACTATACAGACGAAGGCAATATTTCCGCCCGTGGTAAGAGCCCGGACACATTTATAGGTTTGTAAAGCCTCCAGTTTGGGACAGTTGGAAGGTTGTAAATCAAGGGGCAATTCATTTTACTTACTTGGGTCAAGTTGTTGTTGTTTTTCGTCTTTAGGTTCATCATGCCTCGAAATATCATTTGCAACCGTTTCTTCAGTCGCTTTGTCTGCGCTCTCGGATACAGCGTTGCAACTATACTCGGGAACCACCGGCGTTTCTCTTTCAAACGCCGCGCTTTCAGTCCTTTTCGAGGGTAAACTTTCAGTCTTTGTGCCGCTGTGCCGACTGCTGGAGTGGAACCCCGATAGAGAGATATGGTTTGAGACTGGTTCTATCCAGGAGCGCACGTATCTGTTGTCTGGAAGATGGGTCTGGTGAACGTATGGATGGTAAATTCCGGACACAGCAGCAGTAGATGGTTGATGAACCGAGGTCCAGGACGCAGGGAACACGGCTGACTTGGGAGCGAAGCTGCACGAGGAAAAGTCCGCATTTTCCACTACACCTGACGGCCTCGCGGTGGTGTGTGAACCCTGGACATAACGCGCTCCGTACACATCCTCCGTCTCGTGCCCCATAATAGAGTCCACATAATAGCAACTGAGAGCTGAACTAGTCGACATTTTTGGATCCCTTCGAACTCATATAAAACGTTACTCTGTTTCAGAAACCTTGCCTCTGATCAGCCATAGTATTTTTGCTGCCTTCATCTCCAGTGATTGGTTACATGAATCACGTGATCATATTTACTAATACAGAGAGTAAATCAGTCCGCTTATAACGGCATGTTTGATTTGTACTCTTAAAAATAAGATAAGAAATTATTTTCATCTTAACTTAGATGCATTTGATATTTTGCATTCAACATGTTTTAAACCAAGACTTTTTTTAACAAGGTCATATTAATACATACATTTATTTCAGTGCCAGGCCTCACCATTGATAGCTTAGCAAATGATCCCAGCAGTGTAAAATCTTGCAAAATTTCGTCATAAGGTATGTCATACTCGAGCCTTGTAAAGTATTTTATAGAGTACCGAGTTGCAAGTCCTCGTAAAATAAATGTAATAACATGCTGTAAAACAACGAACCACCACAGCCTCACAGATTCTCAGATTTTATAAACTGTCCTCGCTGCTTTAGTGTTAAGATCTGCAATTCAGTTGTTGTAAGTTTGATACTGACTGTAAGGTGTTATAAGATTGACACAGGAAGTAATATTTGTATATATACTCATTGAAAAGCGTGTCATAGTATTTTATGTGTATCAATAAAATTTTTATGAGGTGTATTTGATTATGTATCAATGTTCCCTTAATAAAAAATACTCTTGGCATTTAAAAGTGTCTTGACCCACGTGTCTCTCATTTAATAAAATAATAATAATAATAAGTATGTGAACATGGGCACTGAATAAGGTGGCGACGACTATGTGGAATGACTGATAGTAATAAAGCGGATGTTGCTATACGTTACTTTACAATAAAATAACAAAAAGGTTCAAGACCGAATAGATCATTTTTGTGAAGAGAGATTAAACTCAATTCACTGCAACGTTCTTCCTGATTTGAGAAAATAATTTGAGTGAGAAAACAATGTAGTATAATGTTATTTGTCGATAAGTTGTCACTGAGAGCTCATCTGTTTCAATATTGGTCAAAATTATAATATGCGTTCCCATCTGTGCAGGCCACACACTTGAACATATCTAAGAATGTGCTTATAAAGACATGTTTGGCATTGTGCTTGTTTGTATGCACATTGGAGAGTGAGTGCTCAATGCTAGAGAAAAAACTGCAAACAGTAGCCTATAATATAATTTTTATACTTGTGGAAAGTGGATTTCTTTTCTGGGCATACAGGAATTAAGAAAACGTTTGTTTTGTTTGTCAGTGACGCCCGTAAGATTTTTTTTGCAAAGCAAGTAAGAATTCATGGCTTGTTTGTCGATCAAAACATATTTTTTCAAATAAATATCAATTGACATGTAGGCCTATTTGTAAATTAGTTTGTATTTGCTAATTTGTCTTTGAATATAAGTACAAAACTACATTTATAAAATGACACATATTCAGGCACAAACACGGACTATATTTTAACATAAGATCATATTTTAAATTACGTTGTTTTGCTCATATATTTTACAAACGGGGTTTTAATTAGCGAAGGTGTACAAATCCAAGGATATGTTCTCTTGTGCGTGTGTGTGTTTGGGTAATGTAATTTGGTCTTTATTAAACTGTGGTTTAGAAACTTTATTATACCAAATATTACAACAAACACTATTATGACATATTATGAATTTATTGTCCACTGACCACATGCCACAAACATGCACTGATACAGACATTTAAACACCTAGTATACAGAAACCTTTATACGTAATTATTTCAGATACATGTACGTTTTCACTGGAGAAAGAATGGGTGACCTTTACTTTCAAATGTGCTTTCATGTCCTTTTTTGGCGCAAATGTTTCTGCGACATTTTTGCTCTGTCCCCGCTGAAATTAAACCGCTCTGTTTCGATTTTATTATATAAGTTAAGACCTAACACCACTTTTATACCCTGTGAAACATATTGAAATACACAAGGCTTCACATTTCAAATGCAATCAAATATGAAGCAACAAATGATTAAGATTTAGCAACGATCACAACACTGGAACGTGAAAGTAGCCAAAACAATGCACACTGCCCTCATGTCAATATTATACAGGAGAACACAGATGGACCGAAACGGGGAGGTAAGTTTTTGAAATGCTCTTGTTTGCATGCTCACGAAAAAGTGAGATTGGATGTGAGTTCACGGATACGATTTTCTCTACTCATCTTCTTAAGTTTCATCCTGCGGTTTTGGAACCAGATTTTCACTTGTCTGTCAGTGAGGTTGACGCCTTTGCTTATCTCTAGACGGCGCTCCCGAGTCAGGTACATGTTGAATAAAAATTCTTTTTCTAATTCCAAGGTCTGGTGTTTTGTGTAGGGACATCTTTTTTTCCTTCCTCTCTTCGCGGTTAACCAGTTGCTCGTCGGTGTGTCGTTTTTAGACTCTGCAAAACAAAAAGACACAGTGAACCAACAGCAAAACAAACAAAAAAAGGAAATTAAGACCCTTTCTTTCTACATGAGAAAAAATAGACAGCATGCTTGTTAAAACAGTTATCATAATGAAATCTATACCTACAGATCATTAGAATTAACTGAGTCAAAATAGCTGTAATAGCCCATGTGGCCTCATTTGGTCTTAAAGCCTCAAAATGACAATTCAAATGTTGACTATATCCCTACAGCGTATTTTTACTGAATTTTTATTATTATTATTTTTCTGAGGTTTACATTTAGTCTTTTGAATAAGTTAAATTACTCCTTATAACAATGTACTTTTTCTATAGGCAATTTTGTGTATTTAACTTACTGCACCAGAAATCTGATTTTGCCAAGCTATACACCATGTTGCAGTTAGTAACAAATAAATGTCAACGAATGGTTCCCACATTAAAAGTACATTCATTTTCCTGCTGAATAGATAAAGTTGCAAATACATTTCACCAAGACTGTGCTTATATTGACCACAGTCACTTGCAACAAAAGGTAATTTCTACATGAGAAAAAATAGACAGCATGCTTGTTAAAACAGTTATCATAATGAAATCTATACCTACAGATCATTAGAATTAACTGAGTCAAAATAGCTGTAATAGCCCATGTGGCCTCATTTGGTCTTAAAGCCTCATAATGACAATTCAAATGTTGACTATATCCCTACAGCGTATTTTTACTGAATTTGTATTATTATTATTTTTCTGAGGTTTACATTTAGTCTTTTGAATAAGTTAAATTACTCCTTATAACAATGTACTTTTTCTATAGGCAATTTTGTGTATTTAACTTACTGCACCAGAAATCTGATTTTGCCAAGCTATACACCATGTTGCAGTTAGTAACAAATAAATGTCAACGAATGGTTCCCACATTAAAAGTACATTCATTTTCCTGCTGAATAGATAAAGTTGCAAATACATTTCACCAAGACTGTGCTTATATTGACCACAGTCACTTGCAACAAAAGGTATTTGATGTTAACGCGCCCTCGCAGCGCGGTTTCCTGTTAAGGCTTTTACTGCAACCTGAGTAAGACTCCCATTAAACATTACGACTTTCGGGTTGTTTGTGTTTTATATTGGGTTTTATGATGCCGGAGCGTTCGCATTACACCAAGACGCGATTAATCCGTTTATTGTACCCACCTTTGCCTTCTCTGTGTGGCAATTCAGGGCTGGAGACAGACGCCTCCGTTGAGCAATTCTTCTCCTCCAGCGTGCTGACTTTGGGCTCTGGACTCCGCGCCGGGGAAGAGCTCCTTGTGTCCCGATCGTGCGGAAGCTTCTTTTCCACCTCGACAAAGGGCGTTGACTGCGCTTTTGGAGTTACCCTGTTCAGCTGCATTAACGTAGTGCTCGGGCTCATCGTCTCGCTGTCAAAGTCCGGGTTTTTCGCCGTCGCATAAGTTTGACTTAGTCTAAAATATCCAGGGACAGGAATCTCGGGACTATCAACGGAACATGTTTCGTGAATCAGGTTGGAGTACGCGGGTATCTCGGACGAACTGACCTTTGCTCTCTTGTCGGAGTACATACAACAGTTAGTTTCTTCTTTTATGCTTTGTGAAAATGTGCAGGTGGACATCTGGTTGAGCGGTTGCTCTAATCGGCAGGACCTGGTTGGATCTGCCCAGTTATCAGTTTGAGGTATGTACGAGTGGACGTTCATGCCCATGTTTTGGTGGTTTACTTCCCCCCGTTTGCCAAGAGACGGCAGGAGTCCACAGGTTTGCATTCCATAGGTTCCCATTTCTGCAGTGGCTGGCATGTACATGTTACTGCTGGAATAAAAATCTGTTCTGCACGCCCCAATCAAGGAATCTACCAAAAACGTGTTTGCAGCAGGAGAGCTGTTGGGAAAGGACATTTTGGAGAGTATTTTTTAAAGAAGCTGAGAAGTGTCCTCTGTAAGCTGACATATCTAGCAAAACAATCCCTGTATAGCCCAGAGAGTCTCTCTGCAACCACATGACACTCTCACCAATGAAATTTGAAAATGGCCTTGAGACGTAGGCTCTTCCCCGTCACGTGGGCGCATTGACACCACGATTTGAAGTTTTAGACGTGGTCAACAGCGACACCTAGAACAAGGACTTGAAATTGGTTTCAAGACGGTCAAAATAACATTGTTAAATCCATTTTCATAAATGCAACATATGCAATTAAGACAAAATGTGACGAAATTGGATTGATATAGACTATACTGTTGAACAAAGAGCGAGAACCAGGAAAATAAATGACAGCATTAAGCACAGTCTATTTTGTATTCCTTTTAACTCCAATTCAAGGTCAAGAAAAGAAATGTCGGCAGACACAGCAGAAGGAATTTCTCGTAGTTCACAGTTTCACTAGGCAAAATGCAGAGGACAATGCAGAACAAAATGAGGCGGCGGACGTGGGCCTAAACACCGTTAACTGCATACTGGATTAAGGGTGAAAAGCTAAATTGTGATTCAACTTTTCTGTTTGCTTTTATCATTATTTATATTTTAATCTACACAATTGATGTTGCCTGTCTGCAGTTAGACCTTTTGATCGGACGCAAAGGAAATTTCAATGTGATTACTACTTAATAATTCATGTAATACCA